GTCAGCATCCTAGCATGCACCCAACATCCTGGCACCCCACCCGCACCCTAGCACCCCACCAGCATCCAGTGATGGAAGGCTGCCCGTCAGGTGCAGCAGCTGGGATGGAATCCGGGTCTGCTACTTTGAAGAGGAAAATCTACCACTGACCCCCAAGGGCCCTCCATCCCGTTTCCCGAGAACAGAGAGGGCGCTGCACTGCGCGGGCTGTTAGTCCTTTTATTAGCGTGATTACGAAGAAGGCAGCCCAGCACCCGAGGTCCCCAGAGGAGCTGAGAAAAAGGCCACGGAGCTGCGTGGCTCTCTGGGGTCTGTGCTGTGGGCGAGGGACCCCAGAGAGGGGAAACACGACAGTCCCCCCAGGAGAGTCCATGGCCTGAACCACACTGACCCACGGCCACCTGCTTCCACTGTCAGACCCATGTGACGGGCTCCCTGCGAGGGACGTGCACCCTGTGTCTCGACGCCGTCACGTCACCTCGGGTCCCACTGGAGCGTGGGCTGGAGGGCGTCCTCCCGGGGGCGCCCCCCGCGCGGCGTCTGCGGAGGGCGTGCCTGCTGGAGGGCGTGCCTGCTGCAGGGCCCCCGCCTGGGGCCGCGAGGAGCGCCGTGTCTCCGGGCTCGTCCCGGGTGGCGGCAGCCTAGACGCCGGACTTGGCGATGATCTTCTCGAGCAGGCTCATCATGCGCTCCTGCAGCTGCAGGCTCTGCACCTGCAGCAGGTTCTGCTGGTCGAGCACGCGGCGCACCTCGCGGCACGTCTCCTCCACGGCGCGGCTCAGCTTGCGCTGCTCCTCCACCATGGCCTCCAGCAGCCGCAGCTTCTTCTTCTGGAACGGGCAGCCCCGCACCTTGCGCTTCTTGGCGGGCCGCTCCTCGGATCTGCAACGACGTGGGAGGCGTGAGACGCGCAATGACGCTGAGATGCGCGCGCAGCGCCACGCGGCACGCACGAGCCGCCCTGAGACATGCGCACTGGCTCCTCCTGAGATGACCCCATCTGACTGTTTCCGGCGCACGGGCAAGGACACTGAGGCTCCGGGGAACTGAGGCCCTGGCTCATGGCCCAGGTGTGGGAGGAGGGCCGGTCCACCTGCCCCAGATGGTGAGCTTACTGGGGGCCACAGGCCCGGCCTCCCTCTGGGACCGGCAGCCCCCACCAGGACCCCGCAGGGCGAGGAGGGGTGCACCTGCCCCAGAGGACAGAGGAGGGCCCGTGTGGCACGGACCGGTGCATAGACCTCCAGTGCCTTTACTGGGTGGGCAGGGACGGGCGCAACTGCAGCTAGTCAGGGGCTCGGGGACAACAGGGCCTCCCCCTGGAAGAGGGGAGGGTGCTGCGCAGTGTGGTCGTTCGGGCTTCTCCAGGGAAGCCAGAGGCCGCCCAGCCCCTGCCAGTCCTGGGAAGATGGGGAAACCGAGGCACCAGAAGGAAGGGCCAGGCTTGTCCTGGGGCCTTGGGTGTCTGTGTCTGTCTCCCTGCAGCCCGGGGACAGGGCAGCACACGCCGGGGCAGCACAGAGGGGCACCACCTGTGGGCAGGCGGCAC